TCACATGTGGTAAACTGATCCCAGTGAGGTCTACTTTTTGTTTTTCATTCAAGGATCTCCCTTTTTCCCAATTTCTATCCTTCACAGAATGAAATTGCTATTGGAAGCTAGATTTCGATTTATGCACTAATGCGTATTCATCCGCCATCTCTACAGTTCTTCTCACTATTTTAACTTTCTGTTCCTCAACGTGAGTTCTTATCATTACTGGAAGTGAGTTTTTGAACTCCTCCAGCAGAATAATCTCTCTAAGATCCTCATATGTCTTTTTCTATCTTTAATGCTCTCACCCATCTATTGAAGTTACTGTGTTTAATTCTTTCAAATTCAACATAAGTCTGAGACTATGTTTCTGAAACATTGTCTATATGCTTCTGGTACTAATTTGTAGGCACTCAAAATAGCCTGTTTTACTTCTTCATATTCTCTTGACACCTCATCTGACAGTGCTGCAAACACTTCACTAGCCCTGCCTATAAATTTGTTCTGAAGCAATATTACCCACACTCTCTCGCCAGTCCATCTGCCTAGCTAGTTTCTCAAAAGAAATGAAAAAGGCTTCTGCATCTTTTTCAACAAATTTTCTTAATGTTTTGATATATTTGTATATATCTCTGTCAGGCTGTTGGCTACGATGAGTTTGCTCATCCTCACTTCTGTTTTGTACATTTCCTTCTGCCATTTGAAGTCTTTTTGCTTCAAGTTCCAACTTCATCTTTTCCAACTCAAACATTCTTTCTTTTTCTATTTCTAACTCCAATTGTCTTATTTCCAGTTTTAGTTTTTTCTAACTCCACTGCAATTGTCTGTTTCTCTGGTATACCTAAATGCTTGACCATGTCGTTTACAATTTCAACTTTCCTCTTGTTCCTAGTAAAACCCAATTCTAGCCTGTTTGCTAAGTCCAAAACTATATCCTTTCTCTGTGTTTCTAAACTTTCTTGGCCAATTTGGGAAGCATCTTCAAACCCCAAACCTCTCTAGCAAGGTTAAGAACTATTCCCCCACTGTTGATTTAATCAAGCACAAGTAACTAAATTAAACTGATTTTCTCACCTTCGTTTTATTTAAAGATATAGGACACTAATCCCCAAGTCTGTTTAAATATGTCCAAATTCATTAAGATTCAGTCAGATTCCATACATAAACCTGACCAGATCCCAGACTTGAGCTCCCAATCTGTTATGGCAGGAGTAGAGGTCCCCTTCAAATAATTAAACCCAAAACACCCAGAGAAGCTCGCCTCACCCCATAATCTGTTAAAGGAGTGGTTAAATGAAAGAAAATCCCTTATATTCACTTTATAGGCAACAAGTAACAATTTAATTATTTAACCCTAACAGTGAAGAAATTAACAGAACTACTAACAAATTGAATAATTCCCCCTTAACTACTAATGATTCCCTAACTGAACAAAATTCCTTTGGTATGCTGTTCCAATAAACACAAGGCCAACTTATATAAACCTAAGTAATAAGAAAACTAAGTTATAACTTGGACTCCCAAAGTGCGTGTCTTCTGGAATGTTCTGCCTTCTCTGCTGTCTCTTTGGTCGTAAATACCCTTCTTCTGCTGATTCTTCAGTCAGAGATATTTTCTCTGTGAATTCTTCTGTGAGGACTTTTAGCTAGAAGTGCCATGGTACCTTTTATGGATAGATGGTGCTTTCTCAGAGAGCTTAGAGATTTCTATTTCTCCGATGGCTGTTTGCTTTCACACCGATTTTCAATAACCTTCTTCTTATATACCTCTGATGACCTATCAATTTTCTTATAGTAGGATTGGTCCAAGGTTGTCAAAACCATCAGATTTAAATTCAATTGGTTTTCAATATCTAAGTGATTGGTTTAAATTAATTGGCTAATCTTCAAGCCAATTGCCAAAAGAAGCCTAAGGTTTCCATTCACATAGACAAATGATAGACGTTTCAATTTCAGAACTGTCTGTACTCTTCAACTGCTTACAGACACATTTTTGTTTAAATCTCCAAGCTTAGAAAAACACATCACCTCTTAAACAGACTACGCTCTTCCCCCTATCACTTTTACAAACAAATTCTAACTTCCTGCCTTCCAATTCACAAATACTCTACACAACTTCACAACAATATGGTCTTCTGAACTTCTGAAGCAAGTTTCCTGATGTAGCATTATTATTGCATGCCTATCCATATATTTACAATCTAAATGGACATTTATGAACTATGACTTGAACAATATTGGAAAAATGAATTAGATAACATTTTATAGGTGTTCATCAAATGCTAACCAGGGTTATCATACTGCAAAGAATAGTATTGAATCTGAGGTTTTGGAATGCTTTGGAATGACGAAATGTAAGGGGAATCAAAATGATTACACAAAAGTAAAAAGATAGAAACTGTGAAGAAACTTGACAGGAAAATACAAATAAATTGTAGAGAGTTTTGACAAGTGTATAAAAAGGAGAGTGGGATAAATAAATATTGATCCCTTTGATGTGGAGATAGGAAATATTATCAAGGGGAATCAGGAGATGGTGGAGATATCATCAAATAGTTTATCTGTTTTCTCATTAGAAAATGCAAATTGCATTTCAGAAATAGTGAATAATCAAGGGACTAACATTTGAGGAAACTTAAGGGGCAAGAGGCAGCAGAACTGGCAACATGGACAGGACTGTTTTGCCATTCAGCAAAATGGTGGAAGGACACCCTTATTAGGGATGGGCAATAAATATTGGTCCAGCCTGGAAAGCCTACAACCCCTGAATGATTTTTAAAAATAGTAACTTAAAGTCGGCTTTAAAGTCCTCATCACTCTTGCTGCAGCAGGAAGTTATCAAGCGCCCCTGCCAAAGCGTTCCCTTCCATTTTGCCAGCCCTCCTGAAAAATACACAGTACTTTCAACACATAGTTTCTCATTCCGGGTGTAATCCTGGTAAATCTATGCTTTATTTAGTGTATGTGTTTTAATGTCCTTTCTATAATGGAGCAGCCAAACATTACACCATACCCAAACATGGCCTTGCCAATATCATGTACAACTTCAGATCCATACATGCACAGATATTTTTAAATAACATTTCGGACATATTATGCCATGCTTCTGGAGCAGATGGGACTTGAACTCAGGCCTCCTTGCTCAGAGATATGGACACTACCACTGTGCCATAAGAGCCCTTCCATGCTTACATAGGTAAGCAACTCCTATCCGCTTCATGTGGCCTTGCGTGCACCCATTTACTGGCATGCCTTAAAATGCAACAGTCAAGCCTTGGGCAAATAAAGAACAAAAAACAATACAACACAGGAACAGGCCCTCCAAACCTGCGCTGACGCATTTTGCTCTTCCATACTAAAACGGTCTTCAATAACAGGACCCGTATCCCTCTATTACCTTTCTATTCATGGATTCATCCAGGTGCTTCTTGAATGCTGCTATTGAGTCTGTTTCCACCACCCTTTGTGTGAAACACTTGCCTTGCACATCTCTTTTAAACTTCCCTCCTTGCACCTTGAACCTGTGTCCCCTAGTAATTGACCCCTGCACCCTGGGAAAAAGCCTCATACTTTCCACTTTATCCATACCTTTCACAAGCTTATAAACTTCTAACAGGTTGCGCCTCAACCTCCTGCATTCCAGTGAAAACAAACTCAGTCTATCAAACCTTTCTTCATAGTTAAAATCCCCCATACCAGACAACATCCTGGTAAACTTTTTCTGTACCCTCTCCAAAGCATCCACATCCTTCTGGCAGTGTGGTGATTAGAACTGTATACAATATTCAAGTGTGGCCTAAATGAAGTTCTATAAAGCTGCGGCATAACTTGTCTAACCTTATACTCAATGCCCCTTCCAATGAAGGAAAGCATGCCATAAGCCTTTTTTACTACCTTATCTACCTGTACTGCACACCCAGATCCTCCTGCATATCAATACTCCTCAGGGTACTGCTATTCATTGTACAATTTCCAACTGTACTTAACCTTCCAAAATGCATCACCTCATATTTGTCCGGATTAAACTTCATCCGCCATTTTTCTGCCCATGCCTCCAACTGATCTATATCCTGATGTATCCTCTGACAATCCTCATTACCCGCAACTTCACCAATCTTTGTATCGTGCCCAAACTTACTATTAGACCAGCTACATTTTCCTCCAAATCATTTATGTAGATCATGAATAGCAGAGGTCCCAGCACTGATCCCTGTGAACACCACTCTTCAAAACTCTGCAATCTGAAAAGCATTCCGAACTGCAGTCTCCTATGACTAAGCCAGTTCTGTATCTATCTTGCCAGCTCATCCCAATGCAATGCGACTTCACCTTTTGTACCAGTCTGTCATGAGGGACAAGTAATGTGCCCCAGCCCTCAATTTTTTTACCTACAGCTACCTACTGACAAAAAAACGTATTTGAAAAGTATACACTGTCCTATATCTTTCCAGCCACAGATTTAGCTTCCCTATTTTTACGCTGATTAGTGTGTGCAGCTGTAAATAATCCTGAGTTAATGATTTTCGAAGTTCTATCTCTGAAGTCCTGAAACATCTTCTGGAGAATCTAAATTCTATTACTGACTCTTGTATCCAAAATGCTTCATGGCTTCTCATTGTCTTCCTTTTCTTTCCAAACTTGTTTCACCTACTTCATTAACATACCTTAATATACCTACCTTAAACAGATAAGCAGTTAAACATACTAAAAAGGATGTATATTGCTAACACCTTGTATGAATAACCATTGAAAATAGAGTTTCTTACAAACTACTGTTCTAGCATATGTTCAGTAATGTACAGATTGGGATCTTTGTTCACTGAACTGTTAAAAAAAGGCATCTGTGAAAATATATTTCATACAACTTATTAGTGATAACAACATTTCAGCAAAGACAAGGAAATTGTTTGATCTTTGCTGTTTTTTTTTTTCTTCAACTTTGAATATTCCTTTTAAAATTCAATGCTGGAAGTGAAATGTCATTCATAGTTTGACCTCAAATTAACAAATTTACAGAACCTGGCGTAGGAATGCATCCTTATTTGCCAATTCATTTTCAAGTTTGTCATTTATGTCATGTAATGAAGTTGATTCTCTCTGCACATTAAGGTACCGCTTTTCCAAAGTTGTTATCCTTTCTTCCATATCCTCTTTCTGAGCGATTACCTAAAGAAAATCAATGAAGCCAATTTTACTTTGCTTTATTTTTAAATGTTTTGTTGCAAGCAAATTTCTGTTACTTCAATGTAGACTGTGATAACAATACTGTACAAGTCAGAGCAGGAAAAAGTTTTCCTGAAGTGCATTTAGAAGAACTATCTTGATCACTATGCTTTGACTCAACGAGGAAAAAGGCATTGCTGGATCTGGTTCTAGGGAATGAATCAAGTGGATTAATTGTCAGTAAAGAATCATTTAGGGAACAGTTTTGATAGTATCATACAGTTTATATTAGCTATAGAAAAAGAAAAGAAGCTATCAAGAGTAAAAATATGCAGTCAGAGGACAGGTAATTTTAGTTGCTCAGAATGGACTGATTCTTAGTAAGTGAAAAACTGGTGGATAAAATGGTAATGGAACAATGGATTACCTTCACAAATAACATAGCTTGGGTGTTGTTAACCTATATTTCTGCAAGGGGAAAGGTGAACAACCACAGCAAAACTCCCTGGATGATAAAAGAGATAAAGATTGGGTGGATGTTAATACAGGTGGTTGTAGCAAGAATCATGGTGGTGGGGCCCACTTAATTGCAGGAAAGGACCCACTTCAGTCTACTGGAGTTAGCAAAGCCTCCCCAATTAAGTTGGATGGTGGAGGAGGCTGACACTGGATTTCTAGCTGGTGGCAGCAGAATGTGTGCATGTTTGTGGTGGAAGATGGGAGCTTGGGCGTGTAATGAAAAACAATCTGCTCCAAAATGTGCACTACCTCCCATTCTGCCTTCATGTTTGTTTGGGTACCCCTACTACCCTGGGCCTCTGGCACATACATTACTGGCAGTTCCCACAGCTCCTAATGGTGTGAATGGCAATATTGATTTGCTAGCCTCTCATTGGTCAGCAGCTTCCATGGACAGATCATTTTCTTGAGGAAATAACAAGCAGAGTGGATAAGGGGAACAGGTCAATGCAGTGTATCTGGATTTTCAGTAAGCATTCATTTCGGTGTCACATAAGGGGTTATTGCTCAAGCTAGGAGCTCATGGTATTGGGCTTACTGCTAAATTCTCAAGAGCAACTTGGATGGGCAAAATGTAGGCCTAACCAGCGACATCCACGTGTCTCATGAATAAACCAAAAAAAGAATTAGCATGGATTGAGGATTGGCTATCAACAGAAGTCAGAACTAATGGGGTCTTCTTCAGGTTGGAAACATGTAACAGTGGAGTGGTACAGTATCGGTTCCAGGGCCTCAATTATTTACTTACTATCTATATGAATAAATTGGAGGAAGGCCAGAGTGTAATATATCCACAAAAATAATGAGAGGGTATAATGTTATGAAAACATAAGGAATCCGCAACAGGGTATAGATAGATTGAATGAGTGGGCAAAAAAATTGGCAGATAGAGTTTAATGTAGGAAAGTGTGAGGTAAGAAGAATCAAAAGGCAGACTATTATTTAAATGGAGACAGACTCCAAAAATGTACAGCATAGAGGTTAGCATGCAGGAAGAGCTCGTAATTAAGAAGGTAAATGAAATGTTGGTCTTCATTGTTAATACAATAGAGTTTCAAAGCAGGGAGGTCTTGTTATAATTCTGCAAGACATTAATGAGCTTGCACCTAGAGTACTATGTGCAGTTTTGTTATCTGTATTTAAAAAAGGATATGCTGACATTGGAGGTTGCTCAAAAGAGATTCACTAGATTTATTTCTGAAATGGAGGATTGACTTATCAAGAATGGCTAAATAGGTTAAGCCTCTATTAACAACAACAAAAACTGATGGAAAAACTGTTCTGAACAAGGGTCATTGGACCTGAAATGTTAACTCTACTTTCTCTTCACAGATGCTGCCAGACCTGCTGAGACTTTAACAGCAATTTTTGCTTTTGTTTCTGTCTTCCGGCATCTACAATTCTATTTTTTTTTTAGGCCTTTATTAATTTGAGTTTAGAAAAATGAGGAAATTTCTGATTGAAACATTCAAGATTCTGGGGGGCTTGGGGCGGCATTGGCAGGGTAGATGTTGAGAAGATGTTCTATTAGTGTGGGAATCTTGAACAAGAGAACATAGTTATAGAAAAAGGGGATACTCATTTAAAACTGAAATACAAGGAATTTCTTCTACCAGATGGAAATGAATGTCTGGAATTCTCTACATCAGAGAGTTATGGAGGCCAAATCGCTGAACATTTTTAAAGAGCAGGTAAATAGATTTTGAAACATAGGCAAGCCAATGGCTGTACCCAGCTGGTGTGGAAAAAAGTTGAGGTCTGGGGTAGTTCAGCCATGATCCTGCTGGATGGCAGGACAGGCATGAGGAGCCAAAAGGTTATCCCTTTTCCAATGTTTTATGTTCTTATGACTTTGGCACAGTTGGCACACTTCTGACCTGGCCACAGCAGGCCCACTCCTGACTCAACCACAGTGGGCCTCCCGCTGAATGAGCTCAATTGTCCTATCCCTCACCTGAGCACAGCCCTGTCCCTACTTCAAGCACAGTGGATTTGCTCCCAACCCAAGCTGAATGGCTTCATGCCAAACTCAAGCACAGTGGGTTTGCCCCCACAAAATGCACAATAGGCCCATTTTTGACTGTGTGTCTGCTCCTGATTTGAGACCAACAGCCCCATCCCCAATTTAAGAAAAGCAGCAATCACCCCCGCAACCCAACCACCCGAGCTGAACTTCCCTGACTCCAATATGAGCACAGCAGGTCAGTCACTGACCAAGCACAGAAGATCCATTCCTGATAACGTGCTCACTTCCAACCCAGTCTCAACAGTCCCATCGCCAACCAAACATTGCAGCCCTACTCCTGACGCAAGATTAATGGCCCAGAACCTGACAAAAGAAACGCAGGCCCATCCCCATTCCCAACACAAACACTGTAGCCCCCCTAAAGCATCTAGGAACTGATTGCTGGACCTTGATATATCACCCAGCCCTGGGCCCTCATCAGTATCAGACTGCTGCTTTTGTGATATATGTTATTGACTTGGAATTAAATGTACAGGCATGTGAACTCCTGGGCTTTACAACTTCAGGCTTGGAGTAGAAAAACAACTAAATAAGTTATGATGGGTATTTATAAAAATGTGTTTCAGTCTCAACTGGAGTAAAGCATCCAATTCTGGAATGAAGGCTTCAGACAGGGTGCACAAAGGGATGTATGAGAAAGGGTCCAGGAATTTGGTTGCGTGAAAAGGTTAGGGAACTGTGGTTGATCTCTTTAGAGTAGGGAAGGTTGAGGATTTAAAACTGTTGATCAATGTCTTGAGTGGTCTAGACATAGCAATAGAGAAGAACTTCTCTTTAGCAAAGAGGTTGAGAACCAGAGTGCAGAGATTTTTGATGATTAGTAAAAGGATCAAAGGTGACATGAGAAAATGTCTGACTTCTTTTCAACAGAAAATGCTTTTAATTTCCTACCTCTCTGATATCTCTCTGGTATTTAGTACTCATTTCTTCAGACTTAATCAGTTCTTTTCTGGCTGTCTCTAGGTCTTGTTCCACTTCAGCTAACTGGCCAGACAATGTTGATAGTCGCTCTTTTGCTTGTGTCATCTCATAATTCTGTTTGTCCAGTAATTCTTGTAGTTCCACAACTTCATTAATTTTATCATTAGGGTCAATAGAACCATTAGAAAGAGGCTGTAAAAGAAAAGGAAATTGTCTTCATCATGGAGTTCAAACATTGAATGCCGAAAACAATTCACAGTAAAATCTAACAAAATAACATGACGTTGAGTGAAATAAAATTATGAAGCTTCTATGACTCAGGGACAAACTGAGCATGAAGAATGAATAAAATCTGAATTGAGCTGATGCGCCAATCAATAAGCGCCTTTATTTTGGGAAGGGTCACCAGACCCGAAACGTTAACTCTGATTTTTCTTCACACATGCTGCCAGGCCTGCTGAGCTTTTCCAGCAACTTCTGTTTTTGTTCCTGATTTACAGATTCTGCAGGTCTTTCAATTTTCACCCTTATTTTGTGCTTATTTTTATGAGTGCAAGACGAAAGCTTTGACATTGTCTCTCTCTTTTCAGTGAGATTCAAGTTTTGTAAATACCCAGTGACTGGAAATTACATAAGTAACCAAAAGTAAGCTACATCAGGTCATTATAGGATTATTTAAAAGACAATATCTGAGTGCATGGGAAGAGATCTGACCTTCACACCAATAAGCCTTGGTTTTCCTGGAACTGCTCCCCATCTGCTGCTATTCCTTCATCAGAAGGGTGATGAGAACCTTGTTTACATGTGAAATTGGATTTCCACTGCACTTCCAACAAATAAGTGCTGACAGAGCACAAGAAATTCCAAAGAACTTTCCAGCCATAATCACTGCAAAAAATTGTAGCATTTGTCTATATAACCATAATGCCTCTTTGCAATCAGGGCATATCTTCCAATCTTTCAACATGAATTAAATCAATAGGAAAGTCAATGATTCGAATCCAAAAATCATTATCTATTATCATGAAACCTATTTGGTTCACTAATATTGTTTAGGGAAGGGAAACTGCCATCCTTACTTGGTCTGGACTACATGTGACTCAAGATTTAAAGTTACGTGATTGATTCTTAACAGACCTCTGAAATGGCCTTACTAGCCACTCATAGATAACCACAAAAAAATCTCAAAAAAGAAGGAAACCAGATAGACTACCTGGCAGCAGAAACATTAATTTTAAAATTAGCCCCATCTATCCTGCGATGTCCTCCTTATTAACGTCTGGTAAGAAATGAAAAGCTGTATCACAGACTGTCAAGCAACAGCCTGACATAGTCATATTCATTGAATTGTACATTACAGAAAATGTCCCAGACCATCACCATCACTATCTTTTGGGTATGTCCTCTATACATCAGCATAGGGTACAGCAAAGGGTATATGGCACAGTTCATACAGTTGGGAGGAAGTTGCCCAAAGTCTTCAACATTGACTCCAGATACCATGAAGTCTCATGGGATCAGGTCAAACATGGGCAAGGAAACATCCTGCTGAATACCAGCTATTGCACCTCTGCTTGGACTGATGAATCAGTACTCCCCAATAATGAACAACACTTAGAGGAGAATGTATGCTGAGTGGGGACATCAATGTCCATCGCTAAGATCAGCTTGGTAGCAGTATTACTGAAAATACTGGTCATGTCCTTTTGTGACTAGACTGGGTCTATGGCAGGTGGTGAGGAAACTAATAAGAGGGAAAAATATTCTTGACATCATTCTCATCACTGTGCCTGGCACAGGTGCATCTGTCCAATTAGCCAATTTGTCCAATGTGACCAATTAGAGGCAGCAGAATTATACTCGAAAACAACCTGCAAACTTATGGTCTGGCATATCCCCCACTTTGTAACTACCATCAAGCCAGAGAATCAATCCTGTTTCACTGAAAAGTGCAAGAGAGCACGTTAGGGGGCGTACCAAAAATTGTGACGTCAACCTAGTGAAGCTGCAACACAGGACTACTTGCATGCCAATCAGCATAAGCAGCAAATGACAGATAGGGCTAACAAGTTCCACAACCAATGGATCAGATCTAAGCTTTGCAGTCCTGTTATAGCCAGTCATGAATGGTGGTGTATAAGTAAATTCAGGAGGAGGTTCCACAAATATTTCTATTCTCAATTTTGAGGGAAACAAACTAGGGGGAAAGATAAGATTACAAGCAATTGCTAAAATCTTCAGCCACAAGTGCAGTGTGGATGATCCATATGATCCTCCTCTTCCTCCTCCTCCAGAAGTTCCAAACATCGCAGAACCCTTTTCAAGCAATTCAATTCACAGATGTAGCATCAAGAAATAGCTAACAGCACTGGATACTGCAAAGTCTATGGGCTCTGTCAACATTCTGGCAATTGTACTGAAGGGTTGTGCCCCAGAGCTTGCCACATCCCTAGCCAAGCTGTTCCACACAGTGCAATACTGGTGTTTATCCAACAGCGTGACCAATTGTCCAGCTATATCCTGTGCACGAAGAGAGGAACAAATCCATCCGAGCCAATAACCGTGGCATCAGTTTACTTTTGATCATTATTAATGTGATAGAAGGGATCATGCTATCAAGCAGCAATGCTTAGCAACAACCTGCTCATTAATGCTTAGCGTGGGTTCAGTCAAAATCACTCTGACCTCATTACTGCTTAAATGTTGATCAAACACCTAAACTTCAGAAGGGAGATGAGAGTGACCATTCTTAACACCAAAGCTGCACTTACCAAGTGTGATATCATAGAGCCCTAGCAAATTAAATTCAATGAGAATCAGAGGGTATCATCTCCATAGGTTGGAGTCATACTTAGCAAAACGGAAGATGGTTGTGTTTGTTTAAGATCAACCATCTCAGCTTCATGACATCTCTACAGGGGTTCCTTGAGGGATGTCCATCCATCTCAACGATCTTCAGCTGCTTCGCTGATGACCTTCCATCTATCCTAAGGTCAGAAATGAGGATGTTTGCTGTTGACTGCACAGATTCAGCATCATTAATGATACTGATGCAAATACTGAAGCAGTGTACGTCCAAATGCAGCAAGTCCTGGATAATATCCAGACTTGGGCTGACAAGTGACAAATAATATTACATTACAGAAGAACTAAGCAATGCTCTTCTCCAACGAGAGAATCTAACCATCATCTGTCAACATTCATTGGCATCACCATTGCTGAATCCTCCCACAACAAACATAATTGGGGTTACAATTGACCAGAAACTGAACTGGACTAGCCATATGCATCCTGTAGCTACAAGAACAGGTCAAAAGCCTAGGAATCCTGCAGTGAGTAACTCACCTTTTACTTCTATTCATTTTGTGGGATGCGGGCGTCATTGGCAGGCCAACATTTCTTGCCCATTCCTAGTTACCCTTGAGAAGGTGGTGGTGAGCTGCTTTCTTGAACCACTGCATTCCTCCTGCTGTGGGTTGAACCACAATGCTATTAGGGAGGGAATTCCAGGATTTTGACCCAGCGACAGTGAAGGAATGGCAATATATTTCCAAGTCAGGACGGTGAGTGACTTGGAAGGGAACTTGGAGGTGGTTGTGTTCCCATATATCTGCTGCCCTTGTCCTTCCAGATTGAAATGGTCGTGGGTTTGGAAGGTGCTGTCTGAGGATCTATGGTGAATTTCTGCAGTGCATCTTGTAGATAGTGCACACTACTGCACTGAGCACTGGTGGTGGAGGGAGTGAATGCTTGTGGGTGTAGTGCCAATCAAGTGGGCTGCTTTGTCCTGGATGGTGTCAAGCTTCTGGTGTGTTGTTGGGGCTGCATTCATCCAGGCAAGCGGGGAGTATTCCATCACACTCCTGCCTTGTGCCTTGTAGATGGTGGACAGGCTTTGAGGAGTCAGGAGATGAGTTACTCGCCCCAGTATTCCCAGCTTCTGGCCTGTTCTTGTAGCCACTCTGTTAATGTGGTGAGTCCAGTTGAGTTTCTGGTCAATGGTAATCCCCAGGATGTTGATAGTGGGGGATTCAGTGATGGTAATACCATTGAATGTCAAGGGGCAGTGGTTAGATTGTCTCTTATTGGTGATGGTCATAGCCTGGCATTTGTGTGGCACGGATGTCACTTGCCACTTGTCAGCCCAAGCCTGGATATTGTCCAGATCTTTTTGCATGTGAACATGGGCTGCTTCAGTATCTGAGGAGTCACCAATGGTGCTGAACATTGTGCAATCATCGGCAAACATCCCCACCTCTGACCTAATGCTGGAGGGAAGGTCATTGATGAAGCAGCTGAAGATGGTTGGGCCTAGGACGCTACCCTGAGGAACTCCTGCAGAGAAGTCCTGGAGCCGAGATGATTGACCTCCCACAAGCACGACCATCTTCCTATGTGTCAGGTATGACTCCAACCACTGGAGCATTTGCCCCCTGATACCCATTGATTCAAGTTTGCTAGGGCTCCTTGATGCCACACTCAGTTGAATGCAGCCTTGATATCAAGGGCTGTCACTCTCACCTCACCTCTGGAATTTAGCTCTTTTGTCCATGTTTGAACCAAGGCTGTAATGAGGTCAGGAGCTGAGTGGCCCTGGCGGAATCCAAACTGGGCGTCACTGAGCAGGTTATTTCTGAGCAGGTGCTGCTTGATAGCACTGTTGTTGACACCTTCCAACACGTTACTGATGATCGTGAGGAGACTGATGGGGTGGTAATTGGCTGGGTTGGATTTGTCCTGCTTTTTATGTACAGGTCATACTTGGGCAATTTTCCACATTGTTGGGTAGATACCAGTGTTGTAACTACTGGAACGGCTTGGCTAAGGGAGCAGCAAATTCTGAAGCACAAGTCTTCAGTACCATTGCCAGAATGTTGTCGGGGCCCAAAGCCTTTGCAGTATCCAGTGTCTCCAACTGTTTCTTGGTATCACGTGGAGTGAATCAAATTGGCTGAAGACTGGTATCTGTAATGCTGGGGACCACTGGAGGAGGCCGAGATGGATCATCCACTCGGCACTTCTGGCTGAAGATTGCTGCGAATGCTTCAGCCTTATCTTTTGTACTGATGTGCTGGGCTGTTCCATCATTGAGGATGGGGATATTTGTGGAGCCTCCTCCTCCAGTGAGTTGTTTAATTGTCCACCACCATTCACGATTAGATAAGGCAGGACTGCAGAGCTTAGATCTGATC